CCATTGACTTGAAGTCAGCAGCCACTGCTGTGAAATCAGGATGGGGGGCTGCAGGTGAAGTCTCTACCTCCTCAAGCATGTCTCCAAGGTGCCAGCTCTGATCCATCCTTGCCTTTCCCAATTAAGAAAAGATGACTTGCAAGGGCAGGAAGCAAAGCTGACTGAGGTATGGCCTTCAGGATTGCTTTTCAAGGCTGTGGCTCTGCTGGGAGCTGCTTGTTGTCCCCTCTCCCTTCTCTTGCAGGGCAGGGCTTCAGGAAGGGCCACTCTGGAGTCCTTCACCAGCCAGATAGGGAGGTCAAATGCAGTAGACTCGCTATTGAGAGATGGTAAATGGACCATGGAAGACCAACTGCTTTGGCGAAGCAATCAATCTGAGGAAATGGGAGCATCACAAGCCTCACCAGCATCTATTTCTGTCAGCTATAAGCAGTGTGGCCATGAGTCAAGTTTGTAGAGGTTTGTCCTCTATTTGAAGGGTTGTCCAAGGACAGGACCTTTTCTGGAAAGTATCCGCCATCTGAGATCTTGTCCAGTCCAAGACCAGTTTAGAGATAAAGAGCCATTTTGCACATGCGGTATCTATAACGCCAACATAATTTCTGACTCATAATTGCTTACAGATTTTTTTTGGATGATGAGACCTCTGTTTCCCTTCTTAGTCCTAACACATTGGGTATTTAGTTGTTGGGTCTTTTTAAGAGCAAAGAAAATATACTACTTTCTTTCATTTTTTATTTCCTCTTGTGTATTTGTGCTATTCTGCTATACCACAGTGCCACTTAGGGGTTATGTCATGGAAAAGCAGGAGTAGAAATGATTTCAGTTGTATAACAGATTTTTTACACATACAGTCTGGTGTAAAATTTTTCTGAGCATATACAGGTCATAGCCTTCTCTACTATGAGAAATTATATTTGATTTAAATAATAGCAATTCTATATGCAAAGTTTATGCAAAACTGCATCCTCTTTTCTTCTCCTTTGGGGTGATGAATTTCCTCTTTTCCTGGGGGTGGGGTAGATGAGTGGCTCCTTTAACATCACTGCTTTTGCAACCACCAGTTTATTTCAAGTAGATCATGCCAAGTAGTCCATGTTGGTTCTAAGATAAAGATCCATGGGAAGGGAAAGCAGGGAAAGGGACTTGAAGTTATTATTATACTACATTTCTATACTGCCCGTACTGAAGCTCTCTGGGTGGTTCACAGCATTTAAATCACCCATCCAGATTTCAACCAGGCCCAACCCTGCTTAGCTTCCAATATTAGGCAGAATCAGGCACTTCAGTTATACAGAAGCTTATAATTGTTGCTTATCAATACTGTGTACCTGAACATCAGAGTCACCAATCCAAAATGTTTGGGGACAAAGAACTATAGTAACCTGAATGTTCATTGTTGGAGCAGATGTACACAATTATGATTGTGAGCCGCCCCGAGGCTTCGGCGAATGGGGCGGCATAGAAGTCCGCTAAATAAATAAATAAGTAAATAAGTAAAATACACAGGGGTATCTGTCACAGGGGTAGGGATCTTCTAGGACCAGGGCCAAATCCAACCTTGCACCCTAAATATCTGGCTCTTTGCTCTAAACCATCCTAAATAATTTGGTTCCAGCAACAAATTTGGGTACCTCACTGCTAATTCCAGGTAATGTATGGGCGTGTTAAAAAGCATCAGTTGCAGTTATGGATGGGTGACAAACAGACTTCTGAAGTGGGTTCCCACTGGGTTGATGCCTTGACAGGTGCTCTGGCATCTGCCTCATGAATAACTTGCTCATGCCACTGCTGTGTAACTTATCCCTTAGCAGAATGGGGAGGCTTGTGGGGGGGGGGGGGGGGATGGCTTTAGTGCAGGGGTAGGGAACCTCTTTAAGTCCAAGGGCCAGACTGGAGATGCTCTCAAGGGCTACATTCCAATGGCGGTGGCAGGGCAAGTGGGGAGGGAAATCCAGAGACGTGAACCAGTCCCCTTTTTGAAGTAATGGCAACATAACTTGCAGAGAAACCATTTGATTTTTTCTGGTTTTAATGAAGTTCACTCCACCAAAAATGCTATGGTAGGAAAATCTTCTTGGCCATAGGCACTGCACAGGCACAGCACCCATATACCATATTTTTCGCTCTATAAGATGTACTTTTCCCCCCTCAAAAGGGGAAATGTCTGTGCATCTTATAGAGCGAATGTGTGTGTGCCCAACACCCGGGATGCTGCTGGCTGCCTGCACCACGTGGCACCACCTGGCTGGCACATGCTCGGCATGCCCTGCTCTGCACCCCCCCTCCAGTGCAGGTGAAAGCTGTGCTGCTCAGGGGCAGGCGTGCGGAGGAGCCGCGGCCTTTAACCCACTGGCCGCATGGAGAGACAGACTGCTCACCCCCACTGCCTGGGAACTGCTCACCCCTACTGCCTGGGAAGACCTGCCGCCGCCACTAAGCCGCCCGGAAGACCACTGTCGGCACGCTGCCGGCCCAACGTGGCACCACCTGGCCGGCATGTGCTTGGCGCGCCCTACTCCGCCTCCCTCCCCTGGCGCAGGTGAGAGCTGTTAATCACAGGTCAGTGTGTATTTCAAATGGCAACCCGTCTTTTAATGAAGCCCATGGGGAAGTGATGGGGAATGTGCCTGTGATTATCAGGAAGCTTTCCATGGATCAGTTATCTGTTAGTTGATCAGACACATTTTTTTTTAGGATCAGTGGATATTTGAACAGCATTACCTTCGTGTATGAAGTTTATTCTTCAAAGGCTACTTAGTCCACTGTGTGTTTGATTTACTGTACAATATCTCATTTTTTGTCAGAAGTTTTATTCTATTATTTACTAGTAGGGCAGCATGGACATTAATGGCTTTTTTAGATTTGTTATTGAATTGTCTGCAGCAGCTCTTGTATAACTGGTGTAGATTGTGGATCCCTTCAATAATTCCACTAAGAAAGTGATGCCAGTGATTGTGAGCAACAGAGCTTCATAAATTCTGACTCTAACAATGATTTCTGTGGGTTCAACAAAAACTAGAAGAGTACTCGAACTTTAAAGTCTCTCTTTTGTTAATGACAGTGATGATGGTTCTTAATGCCACTGTTGACTGCTGTTCACTTTACAAGGTTGAAATGTGGTATTACTGTATTCTGTTATATTCTGTTATAGTTTATTAAATAGTTTAGTAAACTATTTGATTCAGAATATTTTTTTTCTTGTTTTCCTCCTCTAAAAACTAGGTGCGTCTTATGGTCAGGTGCGTCTTATAGAGCGAAAAATACGGTATGTGATGCACAGAGACCACAAAGAAGAACTGAATGTTCAAGAACTGTGCTGAGTGGAGAAGTGTGCAAAGACCAGGCTAATAGATGTTTTCTCCATTATCTGCTGGGGTCTGTACAGTCATTTTGGGAAAGTGCAGTTCAGTTAAGATTTGTGAACAACTGAAATCAGATGGGAAATGTGCCACATGGTATGGGAAATTTGAAAGGTGTATCATTTGAATTGGGGCTTGGGCAATCTGTTATGAGGAAACACTTGCAAACAATTCTGGGAAACTAGGTGTTTAGTTAGGTTTCCCGCCAAGCTCAAATACAAGAGGAATAGCCCAAGCCAGGAAATTATTATCATCTGTTATCAATAAAACTAACAAGAAACAGAAGTAAGCTTCTCTGGATGATAGATAATTGGAGCATCAAATGCAGACAGAGAGACACCAGCCCCTAGAACTCTACATGATGTACCAGCTTTGTCAAAACTGGTACTTAAAGTCCTATTTCAGGCCTTCCAGATATTGTTTGGCAATAACAATTCTCATGCTGGCAGGGCCTGGTGGAATTCAGAGCTCAGTATCTGGAGTGCCACAAGTTCCCAGTCATTGCTGCAGAGAAATTCTCTATTCACCTTGGACACAACTTCTCTGGTGCCCTGGATGAACTTATACTTCCATACATCTTAACACTCTCCTATGGCAGTACATTGCAGTAGAATATTTGTGCTGGTGGGCAAAGTAAATTTAAAGGCTCAGGGCCCTTGCTAGGCCTGCACCTATGGGACCCAAGCCGTGGATCTACTTTTCAGAGCTTTGATGGTTTAATGGAAATCTAATTGCCCTGCTGGGTTTATTTTCAGGAAAGGAAGGGATTGTTGCTGGGGAGAGAACTCATCATAATTTTAGGTGGGGTGCAAATTAATTGAAGAGTTCATTTGATTTTGATTGATTTGGATGGGAAATTAGTTGGCTTTGCTGTCTATACAATTTAAATACATCCTAGTAAATATTTTTTTCAATTTGAATATAAATATAAGTGTATGCAAATTTCTATCACATGAGGCTGTGCCCCAGATCTTTTAACACTAATGTTCCTGGAAGGACCATTTGTCTACCATGCCTGATCTCTCTGAAGACCCTCCAGTTAGCTGCCAAAGGATCTCAAAACACATTTAAAATCTCTAGGTCCAATGGAAATACAATGGAATGATGGAAAAAATCCACTAGATACATGCATATGAGCAACCATAATACCATATATACTAATGATGAATTCAGTTATTCAAGAGCTGGTCCTTACATAGTCAACAGAGAACCAACCATGCAGAAGAGGTAGCAGCAAGCACAAGGGAACCGCCAAGGTTTGCAGAAGTAGAAAAAGTGGCAAAAGAAGGCTGACTGCTTCAAATAGTGGGGTAGGGATTGAAGAGGGCAGAGAACTAGGTAGGCAGGAGAATGGAGTATTCTGGAGGGGGGTCTGACTGGCTGATTTGAACAGGAGCACTCCCCACTGCCACATCTTACTGCTGCTTCTACTTATGCCATTACGCTAGCATAATATTTACTGTATAATGCAAGGATGAAAAACCTTCAACCCACAGAAGTCCACCATTTGGCCCTTGGAGGTTTGTAAGACTTGGTACTAAACATAGTTATAGGGGTTTTCCAGGAGAGCCAATATAGCATTGTAATGACCAGCAAAATCTGTTCCTATGCAGAAAAGGCAGACAGCCAGACAAGACCTGACAGCCAGACAACTGTAGTGTATTTGATTGCTGAAAAAAGAAGAAATGGAAGAACATACAGGAGCATTTGAAGTACATTAACAAAATTTGCATATCACTTTCATGGCCACAGAAGAAGAAACAAATGCATTTATTTTGGTTCTCATCTTTCAAGGTTTTTTTACTTGAAATATGAGACATCCCTTTAGAAACATCAGTATACAGAATGATTAAAGTTGAACAAATTTGGCCTTTTGTTTTCCTGCTTCCATGGTTTGAGCCATTTAGAATCCTTTTATTAAGAAATTGGTGCCCAACCATCACATAGATTCAAAACTTAACCCTCTCCTCCCCTGCATTGAAAGGTAATTTTCATAACTAGCTGCACAGATAACTGCAGGGAGTGCATGGGCATGGCCCGAAGGTTGGTCACCTCCGACTACTGTTGTCCTTATGGAAACTAGGTTAAAGTCTCTGCTCAGCCCAAGGACACCCATTATCAAATCAGTTTGAGCTTTGCAGTTGTGATTAACTAGTCCCTAGTCCCTTTGATGTTTTATGAGAAATTAAGATTGGAATGTACCACATGTATTTAACTGTACAGGCCCTCTTGAAATGAATGAGAATTGCACAAGAGTTTGTGCAGAACATGCTGGTGTATTGTGCCCTGACAGTTCATGGAGCAGAGGATCCATACAACAGGGACATGAGTGCAATTAGTAGACAGGCTGCCCTACCAAAATGACCTGTAGTATCAGTGAACATCCTTTTCTAGTTGGTCACTGCCAATGCCCCATTCTGTTGTAGCATTTATTTTTCAAAGGAAGTGTCCTTGCAAATGTACACCCTCTTAATTACAAAGCAGTACTGTAGCAAAACTACATAGTAACACCAAAGCTGTCTCTAGCTATTGACTTAAAGCTGCTCAAGTCATAGCCAGCTGCTTCTTCTGATGATGAAAGTACAATCACTCAAAGAAATTTAACCCAAGGCTGTTCCAAACAGGTCCATGCATATAATACCCAAGCATGTGCCAGCCCATGTGCTAAGGAATAAATGCTTCTAAAATGGGGGAGTGCAAGATAAAATCTTCCTGTCCAGAGGGATAAGAAGATCTATCTCCTTTCAAATCCTTCACAACCAGAAGGGGAAAGGGGACAAGTGAAAGAATGCAGTTTCCACTATATGGGGTTATGCAGGAAAGGCACAAGCAGTGTAAGCAGAGAGATGTAGCTCGGAACCTGACTCATCTGCATTTTGTGAATGACTGCACACACAGATCTGGGGGCAGAACCTCACTGTCCTGATATGACATCCGCTAGCAGGATGAATGAGTCAAGAAAAACTGGCGACGGAAGAGGTCTGTGGATGGTGATCTTCCATTACAGATCAGCATGAGAAAGTAAGGATGTTTACCTGTAACCAACATTCTTCATGTGGTCATCTGTGCATTCACACATATGGGCTCAGCACCTGTGTGGGGCTTGTTGTCAAGATAGAAAGAGATTCCCTGGCTAGGCCTTTTGGTGGAAGCCCAATCTCCCTTCCCTGACTTTAGATAAAGGCACAGCTCCTGCCATTTTCTCCAGTTCTTGTGGGACCATCATCTGGGTCTGGGAACTAGAGCATGGATGTTAAGGTGTTTTGTACTGCATGCGACACTGAGGAGGGGCTGATGTACAAGTTGCATGAATACATAGATAACCACTCAGAGAACATTTGTTACAGGGAAGTAACCTTGCTTTCTTCTTTGTGGTCTCTGTGTATCATACATATGGGTGATTAGTGAGCTTACCTGGGAATGGAGGTGGGGCAGTGTTGTCATCAAAGAACTGCTGACAAAATCACCCATCCAAAAGAACAGCTGTGTCTCACTCAAATATTGAGTCAGTAATGCCAGACACATGTAGATGGATTGGACCATGTCACTGCTTTGCTTAAGTCCTCCACTATCATGCCAGTGTTTAAAGCTGGAGATGTTGCCACTGCTCCGGTTGAATGGGCTTTTGGTTGTTGTGGGAGTTCCAGCCCAGCTATTTAGTAGGCTAGTTTGATGGTCTCTGCTATCCAGTGAGCTAGTCTTTGCAGCGTTATTGAATTTTCCTTCAACTTTTCTGCATATGAAACAGTCCTTTTGTTTTGCAGATTGGTTCCGTGTAAACAATAGAAAGATAAGGCTCTGTGAACATCCAATGTGTGTAGTGCTGTTTCTATCAGTCTGGATGGTGCCAGAAAAAAAGCTGCTAGAATTATATCTTGATTCTGATGGAATGAGGAGACTACCTCGGGAAGGAAGGAGTGGTCCATTCAGAGCACTGCTTTATCCCTGTGAAAGTCAGGAATGGAAGGTTGATCCAAAGGGTGCATAATTCACTAGCTCTGCATGCAGATACAATAGCCACAAGGAATGCCACTTTCCAGGATACCAGGTGGATGTCCACAGTAGCCAAGGGTTCGAATGGTGGCTTTGTTAGTGCTTGCAGAACTATTGAAAGGCTTCATTCCAGCATGATTGATCAGGATGGAATGGAGATATTTTGTAGTCCCTTCAGGAACCATCTGGCAAGAAGGTGTGAGAAAACTGTACTCTTTGACCATCCTATGGAAGGAGGATATTGCTGCTAAGTATATCCTGATCAAAGATGGTTTTAAGCTTTTGACATGAGGTCATGCAGGAAGGTGAGAACTTGGTGGATGTGAACCAAGTCTGTTGTGGTTCACTAGGTGTCACTAGGATGCAGTCTGTATGGTCTCTCTGGTTCTAAGGTCTAAGATGGGATGTAGGCCAACATTCTTTTTAAGGACAGTAAATTACCAGGAGTAGAATCCCCAATGATCGGAAGGTGAGACAGATCAAATTGCTCCCTTTGCTCGAAACATAGCTACTTTTTTTAGGGTGGCTGATGCGAGGGGGGGGGGGTAGTCTGCACTGTTCCCAGTGATGGAAGGGATTCGAATTTAATGTGGTGCCCATGTGTCCTGTGGGAGAGTGAATGCTCTGAGCCAAGCAAGGCAACAGATTGCCACAGCACCAACCAGCACTCTTGAATCACACTCCAAGTGGTGCTGTGTGGCATTTATTTGTTGCTTGGACAGTCTCAGAGCTTCAGATTGGAGGACTCTAGCCAGTTCCCACTGTTGTTGAGGGAGATACTTAGTGCTACAGTCCCCATCTTTTCCCACAGGAACACATGGTACTGTAGCTTCTTGGTTCGAGATGCACAGCCCGAGCCTGAGCCCCATCACCACGTATATTCCTCTGGCTCTTGAGTCTAATCATTGTCCTATGTCCACAGAGACTGAATGTTCTCACTGAGAGAGTCCTTGCACTGACTCCATAACCATCAAGTTGGGTTGAGGATGATGCAGAAGAAAGAGGATGTCCTGGACTCAGTATAGACTCTCTAAGTAACATGGGGCATCGTTGAGCTGTTGCCTTCCACGAGTCCTTCATAGTGTTAAGAAGGATTAGGACAAACGGAAAGGTGAGTGGAACAAAGTCCTCCATCAAAATGACATCATATATGAGGTCAATTGGTGGTTTAGCCAGTTGCTGGGTCTCCAATGCAAGAAATACCGCCATCCAGAGGACCAGCTCAGAGAATCTACCCAAGTCTTCAGAAGGGGACTCCAGACCTTGTGTTATCACATCCTCCAGTGATGTGGACATTGATGTCTTGTATGGTGGTTTGTCAGAGTTGGGGGCATGGGCAGCAGGAAGCTAATCAGAGGCATCAGGACCCAGATAAAAGTCAATAAGCTATATGGCTAAGTCCAGTCACCAGTCAAATCCAAGTAGAAATCCAGAACAAACCTACCAGGAGCAAACAGGGAAGCAAACAAAGCATAATTCAGACAGCAAAGTGTAGTCAAAACAAGCCAGAGATCAGGAACCAAGAAGATTGCTTAAGGGCAGGGCTATCTTCGGAACAGGAACAGGAGCAGGAACAGACAGGATCCAGATGCCACAGAGCTTCAACACACTGGAGGCTAGTGTTAAGGCAGCTTCTGGAGGGAAGAGACACTTCATAAATAGTTATTCCCCCCAGGCCTCCCAGGTGGCATTTATGAAGTCCCTGGCAGCTGCTGCACAGTCTGGGATCAATCCTGCAACTACCAGGGCTGTTATTCTGGCATTTGTCCAGCAGGAGGAGCCCTGAAGCTGCCCATACAATTGTTCTCAGTTCCCAGAAGCACTGTTCATATGGAGTTGTTGGTGGCATCCAGTGGCTCCTCTCCAAGTCAGCACAGGGGTCGTACTGGATTGATGGCATGAGTCTCTGGAGATAACAGGCAAGACTGTTTCAAAGGTTGGTCTGGAGTGTGGTTCTCACACTGGTTGGGGAAAGTATCGCCGTTCCTGCATTGGATGGGGAAAGCATTGCAGAGCTGATGGGGGTGAATCTCTTATCTCACCCTATGAGGAGGAAAGAGTATCATGCTCCAGTCAGAGTCTCTATCTGGAGGATGGTCCCATTGGCACAGCTGGTGGGACTGGTGATGTAGGCAGTGCCAATTCCACTGCAAGTGCCCCAGAGCAGACTTGTGATTGGTCCAGTGTGAGGGAATGGCAACAAGCCTTCTTCATAGGCTTTTCAACTGACTTTTTTTCCTGAAATTTCTGATCCTCCATCAGTTGCCATTTTGGGGCCCTATTTGGGCCTCTTTTGGTGTCATTTTTCAGTGGCCTTTGGTGTGGATTTCACCTGCTCAGCACTTGGAACTGCCAGTGAAGCAGAAGAGTCTGCTGTGACTGTAAATGTGGCCTGAAAGATTCTCTTCCACATTTCGTGACACAGACACCTGGCTTGATTCCTTCTTGCCTCCTTGGTCAGAGCTTGACAGTGCAGCCAAGAGTCTACCCTGTGGACTTCTTCAAGGCAGAAAAGACAAAGCAAATGCCTATCTGTTGAGGTCATCTTAGTGCCTCAGCGTACACACTTTCAAAACACACCTGTGAATGCCATTGGTGAGTAAAGATGGGGGGAAGGGGGGTTAGAATGACAGTTGAGAGTAGTTAACAGTACAAGTAAGCCATGAAGTAAAATGGATAAATGAGATGTCAAAAAAATTATACGATTTGATAAGTAGAGGTTTAGAAATGGTGAAAGTGAGAAAAAGATAAGGTTTCTGAGGTAAAAGGAAGGTTCTAGATCATGAGGAGAGCTAGGGTAAGAACACATTTGAGGCACCCAAGGCTGCAGTTGAAAACAAACTGGAGAAAATGGTGGGAGCGCCACCTTTATATAGTATTGGAGAAGGTGGGTGGAGCTCTCCCCAAAATGTCTAGCTAGAGAATCTCTCTCTATCTGACAACAGCCTCCATGCAAGCACAGAGCCCATATGTGTGATGCACAGAGATCACAAAGAAGAATGTCATATTCAACCTGCCCATGTCCTAGCTCATCCAGCTGCACTCCTATGCACCCAGCAGTGATGTCTCGCACACAGTTTGGGCACCATTTGTGGCAAAAATGGACACAGCAATCTCAAGATTTTTTCTTATACACAGACACATGCCATGCCCTGATACAGCTGGGCGATGCTTGCTGGCAAAAGCAGGCACATTTCTACATTCTCTGGCATTTCTACCAACTGTCCTCAGTAGTCCAATCTATGGTGAATATCATGCCATCATTGTCTTCCAGCATGTGTGAAAAGGCACACGTACTCTCCTCTCAAACATTCCAGCACAGGCTTGCATCCTTAGGTCTCTTTCCCTCCTCTCAACTGTGGAACGAAACCTCTCCTTACTACTCCCAGTGACCTAAAGATTATTGCTTCATTTATTTAAACATTCAGTAAGGTAACATTAAACTTGAACTGAAAATATGAATCAAAGTTGGTGATGGTGACTTCACCATATTTCAGAAGTCTATAAACTTCTTTTAAATGTTTTCAGAACCTTCAGGCTTTTCAAATCTGACACCCTAACAGGCAATACAAGATGCTTCTAAAAATTTTTAAACTCTCCTTCTCTTACTCCCACCTTTCTTTCTTGCATCTCTTTCTTTTCACTAATAAATAGACTGGTAAGGCAAAGCATGGTGGAGGTGCTATTGCAGGTGCAACATAAATTGAAGTCCCAACCCACCAGTTGAAGACATTAGCTTGTCATGATGTGGAATGGGAAATAGAATTCCAGCCGTTTTCCTTGTTGGGCAGATGTCCCGCCACACATCAATGACTAGCAATACAATACACAAGGCTGCTGACTTTTCCTTACAAGGCGAGGCAAGGCAAGAGACGGGGGGCGGGGGGGACAGTTTACCGGCCTAAGGGAAACTGGAACATTTAGTCTTTCTGCAATCAAACCACAACCTCAACACTGCCGAGGCTCAAAGAAGAGAAAAACCCGGATTCCTCAGAAAGGAGATAGGAAGCTGTCATTGTTAAAAATATTTATATAAAAATAACCAAAAAGGCCTCAATCATACACCAAGAGGGATGGTTTAGTCTGACACAGAGCTTTGCAGTGCTGCAGCCTGCTGCCCTGCGCCATTCCTCAGCCCCTTACTCAGGGACTGAATCACCACCCGCTCCTCCCAGAGGATACAGGGCTCCCTGCTGAGTACCGATTATTCAGAGAATAAAACTTCTCTTACACAAATGCATATGGTAAGGTGTGACCTGCACCACTTTCCCAAAAGAGAAGAGAACGGGAGTGATGGAGGATGGCAGAACGAAGCAAGCCCACAACTTCCCTTAGCAGGCTCCCCCAGGCCAGAAGTGGGGGTAGCCTTCATGCACTGGCACAAGGTTGCGATCGAAGACATGGTGTACAGTGAACCCCCTGCAGCTAACCTCTGAGGTAACCAACCCATAAACCCTGAGGAAGAGAAAAGCCCTCCTGCATGCCATTTTGCTCCCCCAGTCCCTCCATCTGCGCGCGAGTTGGGTCAAAGCTCATCACGGGCTGTGCTGTCGAGAGGCGACTGGAGCACATCAGTGTTCTTGGCCTCATTACTCAGCTCTTGCTGCTCCTTCATCTTCTGGGACTTGGCCCGGTCCCAGTCAGTCTTGATATTCTCATTGTTCCACACCACAGAGGTCTCTGTGTCACTGATGTAGCCATCGTCGCCTGTGTAGTGCGTTGGGTAGACCAGCAGGGGCTCTACTGAGAAGGCCAGTAAGTTCCGGTTCTCAAAGTGCTCCATGTACTCAGAACTGTGGGCAGGGAAACAAATGCCACATGAAAAGAGCTGCTTCTCAGGAAAGATCTGTGCCACATCATGTAAATTAGTTAAAATTTAATTGGACACAACCATGATTCTCAAGATCCATTGGGGGAAGCCATGGCTTGATCTCCTGGGCCTCAAGGTATTTGTCTTTATATTTAAATTCTGTTTTGCATGGACTTGTTAGATGAAACTAACAAGGAGAAAAGTCAATTTCAATAGCTATACATTCATTTAAATGAGGAATACATTCTCCCCACCCCCAAATTTAGATATCTTTCTCTTTCAGACAGCCTTTCCCAACATGATAATCTGCAGAACTTTTGGACAACGTCCATCAGCCCCAGCCAGCACAAGAATGGGGAGGGAATTGCAGTCCAAAGCATCTGGAATGGACCACATTAAGGAAGTGGGATTTATGAGTTCCTGTACAGCAGCCTTCCCTTACCTGGTGGCCTTCAGAGGCATTTGGACCTCAACTCCCAGAATTCCTATCCACTGGGAATTCTTGGTGTTGCAGTTCAAACATGTCTAGAAGGCACAAAATTGGGGAAAACTGCTGTATAGCAATAGCTTGTGCTGATGCAAATCTTGCCTATAACACAGTAGTGGAGGCAATGTGGCCTTCCAGATTTTGTTGAACTGCAACTACAAACACCCCTTGCCACTGGCTCTGTTGGCTAGGCTGATGGGAACTGTAGTCTGATAACATTTGGAGGGCCACACATCCCCCACAACTGCTTTAAAGGGGATGTTTTCTCAGTGGGTAAGAGAGAAAATTACATTTCTATTTTCCTATAAGAGAATCTAGAATTCTCTGAGCAGGTTTCATGCACCTGAAAAGGGTAAATTCTTGCAATTCTAAACTGTTATGGTTGAGAAAATACCCCACACTTAGGGCCACTTAGTCAGAAGTGATACAAGATTCTACATTACTGATTTCTAATTCTTCAAACACGAAGGGAAATCTGCTGCAACTAACCATGACCCTTGGTAGCAGACAGGCTGTGTAGCCAGAGAAGAAAGAAAAACCCACTGATTTGGAATCATACAAGGGCAGGAATGAGAGGACAGCCATGATTTCCCTAGTGAGTAATGCACACTGGGGGCAAAGCAGAATAAAATAGCCAAATTGCTGTAACAACAGCACCTGCGGAGGAGATCAAGGCTCAAATGAAAGCAGACGTGCACTTGAACACATTAGGCCTTGACACTAGATTTGCTTAGAAATGGATGGAAGTGGTTGCTTGCACGCATGGCCTTCTGGACAGCAAAGTCCACCAAGCTGCACCTCCACACTTCCCTGCAAATGAGATCAGCCTACAACTGCAACCTGATGGAAGAGAGCAGCAAAGATCTCTTCCCAGGTCCTTTGTTTAAGAAGCCACATCTCAGGCCAATGGTGCAAGCCCTCTTAGCAGCTGCTGTCACAAGGTCCCTTTCCTCCTTCCCTCTCAAGAGTAATGAAGGCCAGCCTTACACAGGGTGTTTATTGAACATGACAGGCAGGAACTCATCTACGGGCAACATCTTGGAGAGAGGCTCAGCCCCCAGGAGCTTCTGGGCACCCTGTAGGGAGATAATGTAGGCCAGAGTCCAGTAGGAGTAGTCAGCTTCTACCAGGTTGCGGACGTGGGGCACAGCTTTCTCTGAATGCTCCACCTGCATGCGCTTCCGGCCAATGTAGCTACAGGGAGACAGAGATGAAGGAAAGTAAAAAGGGTGCCCTTATGCCAGTTCCAACACACTTGTGTTCCAAGAAACTTTTGACAGTAGGAGCAAAAGCATGAAAGATAGCTTGACCTGCTTATGTAAAATTCCTGTGAGCCCATTTTAAATTCTCCCTAAGTATCACTTGTAAGCATCTAATCAAATATGTTGCCTGATAATCTCACAGCCATATATTCATAAGTGATCCTTGTTATTCCTTTTTAATTTTAATGTATTACATTAATTATCATTGTTCCTATGTTTTATAGGCTCTGTAATCTGCTTAATAAATCCACTTAAGAAACAAAAATTCATAATTATACAATGGGCCATCACCATTACCCTGCCAGTAATAATAATTAATCCTATTATTTTATTCCACTTCCATAGTGTTGTTATTTTATGGATGCAATTTATTTTATCATTATGCAGCCAGTCACTGTTAGTGGACACTGCATGAAAAGACAGTTAAAAATAAAATAATTAATCAAATAAATGAATAAAAGAAGTAAAGAAGTTCTAATTTATCTCAATAGATCCTGCTTATTTCAAGGAGACCCAGTTCCAAGTATGCCAGGTACACACAGCATTTTTGTTCTGAAGAGCCAGAAGGTTTCACACCCATGATCTCACCGATCCTTACAATGACTCCATAGGCCCTGTGTGTGTCTGAGATGATAAGGCTGCCAAAGGCCACCCAGAAAGTCATTGCTTAGGTGCTACATTTGAACTATGGGATTCCCATGAATAGTGGATTCATTTTGCTCTCTATGAGCCAACATGCCTTAGCCAGAGTTGCGTTACATAAGCACCAGCTATGATTTCCCCATATTTCCTTTTCACCAGCTTACTTATCCCTTCCACCACCTTTACAACAGGTTTGCATGCATATTCTTGTATGTATGTTTATGTGTGTGTTTCGTATGCTGCTGTTTAGGAAATCCCAAACCAAATTATATTTTCCACCTGACTTCAATGCCAACACTTCCCCCACTCACATCAAATCCCAGTCCAGGCCCTCCTCTTCCAAGTCATACATGAGGTTCATTATGCGCCGTTTAAAAAAGATCTCAAAGCGCAGGTCATCTTCAAAAACCACTGATTTCTCCAGGCCTCTCTCAACAATCTGGTAAAATAGAAAAAGAAACAAAAACAAAACACAACCCTGGCCTATTCTTCTTTAAACAACAAATATTTTTATGCTGCCTTTCCACTAAAGTGTAAGAATGATTTAAACCACTCAGCTGGTTCTTTCATTTTCTCCTTGTTCTCCAGTCCTATTTTTATTAATCATTAAGTGTCTCCTGATGCCAGCATAACCACCACACCAACATCTGACAAGCCACAATCCCCCTCTTCAGCAACCCCACTTTTCTGTGTAACTCAACTACCAAGAAGCCAAGCTGGCCAGCACCTGTAACTCATCAGTTCTTTGGTTCCAGATTGTGTAAACTCTGCTAAAGCTCCTTGCCAAACAACCCAATAGAAGTGGTATTCTGAGAGCTTTTTTAAGTTGTGCAAATAGAATATAGCTGCTTCATTCCCCTTCAATGCCATTTGGGGTACTGAAAAGATACTCCCAACAATGTGTACCCATAATAGCTACAAACCTTTAAGCAAGGGGGGAAAAAACTAGGATTTGCAGGAAGCAGAATACAGTGCTCAGTGCCACTTTCTGCACTATTGCCTGCACTCTTACAGCATCCACACACTCATGTCCCCTTTTTTATTATTTTCCATCTCTGGGACTAATAACACAACTGTTACACATCCTGAGCAATTTTCACCTGCTCCAGGAAACAACCAAGCCCCAAATTATCCAGAGGTTCTTTTAAACCCTTGCAAGTCAGACTCCAAAGCAAGATAACAGTTGAGCTCCTGCGCTGCCTGCCCTGGCTATATCTCACACTTCATGGGAATGTCCTACTCATGGGGGAGAAAGAAATACATGCAGTTCTGCAGATTACAGACCTAGATGTACTTTGCACTTAAAACCATCTACTGGAATTCTGAACCTTTCTGAAATGCGAGAAACTGAATTCTGCAAACTGTTTAAATTATGCAATTTAAGCAGCTTTGCATGAGTCCTTTATTTTACATAATTATTCTACTTCCACTAGGCCTGGGGTAAGAAAAGGCGTGAGACACAGTATTAGGGCCCCAGAAGGAACCCCCAGCACCAAGGTACCAAACAATGGCTGTACACTTGCATGTCTAACCATAAAGCCTAGAAACTTTCTTTGCAAATGAAACCTGAGATTCTTGGGAAGTGGAGTTACATGCCCACTACAAAATCCTACAACTTTAACTGTGCTTGTTAGAACCACAATTTGCACAGTCCTACTTCAAGAAGCGTTTCAGGGTTACTGAACATATTTAAAAAAAACCAGCATCACTTACCTCTTGCCAAACCTTATAGTGGCTGAGGAAGCAACCCAATTCACCCTTGGTGAGTGGACGCCCATGGTAGGGGTCTTTGTAACCTGGCAGCATCTTGATCCCCATAGCTTCCACTTGGCTGCTGTTCATTGCTCTGAGGGTAAACAATGAAAAAACTGAGTGAAGGCTGGCCAGGAGGAGGCGTGCTATGGGGCAGAGCTGGAACTGTTCCAAATATTTTACTTCACCTGTATCTTACTTTGTGTGAACAGTTTAGCAACTGTGACCTGTATATGGCCTAGATCCAGACTCCTAACAACAGAGCCCTCCAGTGGTAAGCCTTGGCTGGAAAAACCCAAGACAGCTCTGTCAGCCAGATGTGGAGCCAGGTTCAGCCTTCAGGCCAGAGGTTCTGCATCCTTAGCCTACAGCAAGTCAATTCATCTTCCGCTCTGTGTAGAGGAAGATTCAATGGCCAAGAGAGGAGCAGAGGAAGTTGCATTATCTCAGTCAAACTAAATGTACACCTAGCCCAGTATTTGTCTGTGCTGACCAGCAGCTCTCCAAGCTATTAGGCAGAAAAAAGTTTGTCCTATCATCTGCAGCCCAAGATCCTTTTACCCAGAGAGGCCAGGGCTGAACCTGGGGCTTTCTGCAAACAAAGCATGGGCTTCCCCTCTAAACTGCAGTCCCTCTTCATACATATGGTGAAGATTAAAAGGGACTCAAGCATGGCTGATATTCCCTATCTGTATGACTGAGGCCCATGAACTCTGATGGTACTCTGAGGGTGTGTGGGCCCCAAACAGCCACCTTCCCTCCTCAGGCATCGTTCCTGTCATGGGGCAGCATCACCTGGTAATACTCACTTCCCATCCACAGCCTCAATGACCTTGCAGTCAATTTCCTGTTCATACAGAGTCTGCAGCATCCGCTCTCGGCGATCCACCCGACGCTTCAGGTTGATCATGAAGACCTGGGAATAGAAGTAATGTGGCAGCCAGAAACATCACAAAGGAAGTTTGTGCAGGGCATTAATGCAAGCCTACATTGCCAACACCAGGCCTTGCTTCTACTTGCAGGAGGATGAGGTAGCAGAATCTCGGGATGACAGAATGGACTCCATACTAAGGGAGGGAGATGCTGTTTCCAAATACTCGCATGCAAGTAGAAACCTTGCAACTATCCCCACAAACAGAAAACTAGCAAAGCAGGAGATATTTCTTTATCAACTGTTTGTGTATTAGTCATACTAGGATACTGCTTAATAAAATCTCTAAGCAGTTCACATATACATATTAAAAATCACATATAAAATACAAATTGAAAACAATTCCAAGTACAAGTAACATTGCAAAGTAATACAGGGAACAGTTAGTAAGTTGAGTTAGAGCCTTCCAGGCATGCTGGAACTTTCATCTACGAGGCAAGCATTGTAAAATGCCTCTCATGCCTCTGATCTCTAAACGAATTGCAGTCATCTTCAATGCCAAAGCATTTTTAACCCACTCTTCAGCCATGGCCCGCAGCATGGCTTGCAACAATCAGAAGAAAGACAGGCTTACAATTTAAAAGACATAACGCTAAAAACAAATTAGGAGGAAGGAGGGAAACAAGCAAATTTAGGCACCAGATCCTTATTTGCAAAGTTCACCAGGAAATGGAACAGGATCTAAACACAATGGAAGGCATGCTGCTTCCTGTTTCTCCTTTAGAAGAATGCAGTCCATTTTCCCATCTCCTTCTATGGCCTAGGCTAGGGCTCATATTTTGGCCTTTTCCAATGGCATATGATACTAGGAGATCTAGCTGCATGGATTTTGGGCACCAGGATGGCACAAGGCAGGGTTTGGAGGGCCCCAAAATTGGGGAAGCCTGCAATAATATCCAGGGATGCATCTGGAGCTAAGAATAATGACGAGACCTTGCTCTGAGGTAACAGTAAGACTAATGCTGGTATTACCAGCCCAGATGCCATCACTAGAGGGATTTTCCTTCCAATGCCCTGTACTCTCAAGGATACCAAAGCACTTGTTTCTGTATAAAATGCCAGTTCCAGTTCACATGGTTAGTGACCTCCACAAAGCCACACTGGATAAGCACCAATGAGCTTATACCCAATACTGACACTGCTACACCCCTGCTCGATCTCTTGTGACAGTGGGACCAGAACTTGCACAACAGAAAGCCTTGGGTCTAAGGGCAGCCCCAGAAACAAATGGAAATATCTACAGGTCAGAAAAATTTCCTTCTGTGCTCTCTGTTGCCTTGCCCCAGTTTGGAAATAAACATTTCTGCTTGTTTCCAGCAGCTCCTGTAACCGTAAGTTTCCCATTGTACTAGCTAAACCAAATTCTGTTCTCAAAGCTGCTTCTGTGACCTAGACTATGGAATTTAAGCACCATGTAGATATATTTGCTTCTTTTTTCATGATTTATCCTACACCTTTGCTCCTCACCTCATCAAATCCCATTTTGTCTGGGATTTTGGGAAGCACAGACAGATAATGAGAAAGTTCCACCGATGGGTTCTTAACTGTAAAGAACAACAACATGGAATCACATGGCTAGACGCATGACCTTTCCAAGATTTGTTGTTTTCTTTTAAACAGACACGTTTTATGATCAGCTGCTCCCAAATTCTTGGCCCAGGCTCAGATATAATGCAAGCAGGCAAAAATTTATTTTCCATAAATAATTACATTAAGCAGTCTCTTAGGCATACCCAGATGGGCCTGAAAATGGGATATCTTCCCTTAGCATACTATATTTTCAATTACTAGGAACCCAACAATGAAGCTCACTGCTTTTGTGTTTATTCCAAGCTTGTAAACAGACACATATTAGTTATGTTTTATATTTTTATACCAACCAATAGCCAAAGCTCTCAGAGCAGTTCACAGCAATTGCCTGGTTAACCTCTGTGATAAAAATAGCATTTCCAGGTAACTGCTGCATGGAAACTTCACAAAAGTTTGTTCTTTCCTTCTCTTTGACCATAAATGATTAACACAGATACCTGTGGACTAGTATATTTAAACACATATTGTATTTCAGTTTTAACACATCCATCGTCCAATAATCTGTAGTCTCTTCTTCTTCTTATCTGCACAGCTTTCCCTGTCTCAGATTAGAGAGGAGGATTGCGCCAGGATCTCCCAGGGAGATTTCTCAACTGACTAGAAATGGATCTTGACACCTAAGCTCAAAAGCTAGAAAGCTAATGGATCTTATTTTCCTCCCCTACTTTTTTTTTTTTTTTGCAAGGCATGTTACTTTCATAAATACAGAAAGGTATGTAGTGCCAAACGTATTTGCTGCCCTCACCCACAAAAAGCAAAGAAGCAAAATTTATTTGTGGGCAATCCCACACTAGAGGCTTTCAAGATGCAACTGAACAGTCATCTCAGTGAGATGGTGTAACTTGGTGTCCCGCACTAGCAAGGGGTTGGACCTGATGGTCTTCTTAGCCTCTTCCAACTCTGCTGTTCTAGGATTCTACAATTCAAACTGCTGTCAGGGGGAGAATGTTAAATGTACATATTTTAGCAAAATACCCCCCTCAAATGTTGATTCCCCCATTCAAAAAAGCGCTTCCTTCACTCTACCCCCCCCCCCCCGCCTTACCTGTTACTTTCACTGTATGGCTCTTTTGCCCTTGCCTCATAGCTGTTTTTTATGAGGGCTTTGGGACAATCTTTATTCAAATGTTTGTGGATGAAAATCAGTTCAGCAATGAATTTAAAGTTCTCTTTAAGTGTGCACACTCACAGATGCATAGAAGTAGAGAAGTTTATTTCACCCTGTCAAAAAGAAAGGTCTGAAGGAAGAACTGAAAAGGGGGGAGGCAGTGCAGGAGGGGATTCACTACACCCTGCCACCTAGATTGTTTCCTGTATTCCATCATTCAGGTGCTACTACTTGGCCCAAGTTAATGCTATGTTCTGCCAATCACCACCTCCTCAATCCCTTATTTCTACACAGACCAGGTGCCCGTTGTTCCATAGCACCATAAATTGCAGCTCAGAGAAGCTGTGATCTGCAATGATAGAGAGAAGAAAGACAAACTGAGGTGTTCAGAAGTTTTGTTTTCCAAACGAATGTGTCTCAAGAAAAGATTCAAACCTTCAGAGGGCTAAAGGTTTTCTTCCTGGCACATTGGCAGTCCCAAACTGGAAAAATTTAGACTTGAGGAAGCTCTCATATGGCCAATCCCAAGGGTATTCCAAGATGGTGCGGTCCCATGTGAAGACTGTACATCTTGGAAACAGGACACTTGAAAGGGCTTTTAACCCTCGAATTTAATGTGCTGAAAAACCATGTGTTACTTACAGGCATGCTGCCTTCTAAAAAATATACCGAAGAGGCAAAGGCAGAATATTGCTCGCCACATGGAATATACCTTGCTATCTGCCAAATAAGGCAGTTGGTGACAAAGCTGGTTGTATTCTCACTGAGCTCTCCTACCGTCCACGTTTACTACATTTTCAAGGCAGTGACTGTTTCCCCTTTAAGGGGAGTTGGACTTAGTAAAAGGATCTTTGTGCAGCTGCAGTCTGGACAAAGAGCAATTGTGAAGCATGCCTGAGGAGCAGAGTACAGCAAACTCCTCCAGAGCCAAAGGATAGTGGATTGCCACATAGGACCCTTTGATGCCAGAAGCCATTCCGAAAATTTCAGCACAGTGCATGTGGGATGAAGCCTGTTGCTTCTAATGGAGAAAGCAAATCTTTTACATTGACATCAATTAGTCCCTGCAGCCCAATTAAGAAATTATATAATTGACATCTCTAACAGAATTCTGGAATTAAAAATGAAATTCCAGTAGCTAATGCAAGACAGCTTGGCCTCCTGACTTGCATATAATAAAGGTATCTGATCTCTGAGGTTTTCCAGGTAAGAAGCAGCAATCATCAGAGACTGAGCATTGGTCATTCCTTTTATGGATGAAGAATGAATCCAGACCAAGAGGTGCTCATGTCAAGTTTATAGCTACATCTTCCTCTCTGCATCATGATAACAGTACTATACAGCAATACAGCAATCAGCTATGTAAGAAGCCCAGTTTTGTCATCAGATAAATAACAAAAAAATAACACAATTTGTAAATGCTATGAAAATGTTCTAAGAAAACAAGCTGTCCCTGTAGGATGCTATCAAGTTACTATTTCTGTGTCACAAACACACTTGTTATATGTTCAGATAAGTATGTTGTTACTGTCATTTATCTTGATAAGAAGTTTGAAATTTTAATTATCTTATTTAGACATATGAAAATTAAGGTAGGAGTACATCTTTAGAATTGTTAGAAAAGAAACCTGAATAAGTGGTGACAATACTCTGAATGCTTCACAGCATCCAAAATGCATATCAACAAGTCTCCAAACACATCACAGTGGAAGCTAGTGCAATGTGTTGCCCATAGAGTCATCCAGGTAAGCTTGATCTAACTGAGAATCAACATCCTTGAATCTGCTAAGAAGCCCTCTTTAGATGTTGAATCTTTCATGAATTTGAATGTATGCATACATAAGCTTATGTACTATGTACTGATCCTTTTATAGTAAAAAAAGCAAAATAGCAAATCTTGTCTGAGGGCTTTTCTACATAAAGCTTTTAATCCACTGCTTTACCAAGACTTCTGCATCCAGATTCTTTGCAGAAGTAAGATCAGTTCCTTTACAGAATTGTCTTTCCAGGGTTTTCCTTCCTTGCCTTTCTGTATGTTCCATCACACAATTGTGATAGGGCACTGTGGCATAGTGGACAAATACATGAGGGCTTCATCCTGCCATTCACTGATAATACTTCACTTTCATCAGTTTAAAAGCAGCCACAGAAATGGTTGCAAAGAACAGGAGAGGCTCTGGATGATGGCAATGTCATATAAAGTACTCTTTCACACATGCACAATAAATGCTTCATGTTAAGAAATGCACTTTGAGAGACTTTCTAAGAAACAGTATTCTGTAAGTAAAACATGATGATTACTCTATGACAGTATCTGGTTTGGGGAAGACTTTGAATATGTAGTCAATCAAGTAGCCCTGGGTTGGCTATGTACTGGTAACATATGGATGTTACTAGCCACAAAGAACAAAAATATAGGAAGCTGCCTTATTCTCAAACAGACCATAGATCCACGGGCTCATTTCATGAGGATAAAACAGAGTGGAGAAAGACTATATAAGGTACCCTGGCTCCTCACAAGAGAGAAGGAATAGGGATATATATGTAATGCAATAAGAATATGAATAGTCTCTTGAAATCTTGCATGACAAAAGAGCAGCAAAGCCAGATTCCAGCAGTCACCTGCTTACTCTCTCCTTGTCTATGAAATGAGATAACTCAGGTCGCTTGGCTCAGTTTGCATGTATCAGCTTTACCCAATCTGGTGCCCCTCTCAAATGTGTTAGACTGCAACTGCCATCATCCTCAGCCACTTGGTAGAGGGCATGGGAGGTTTAGTCCAGCTCTGTGGTCCAATTTGGACAACAGATTTGGCATGCATTGATGTGGGTCACACAGTGCTGCTTGTATTGCCATAGAATCTCAATTTCTGAGATGGCCAAATCAATATTTTGGCTCTCAGCCCAAATGGTCCTTCCTATTGGGAACCGAGGCAGATGTCAACACCCTGAAATTCAAGTAGGTCACCTGTTCTTCCCAGATGAAGCCCTGCAACTGTTTTCAGTGGCCCACCTGCTTGATTTGTACAGCTGACACTCCATGAGGAATCAAGTTTTCCTTACTGCAAATTTTGGGTAAAAAGGAGAGAGAGAGAGAGAGAGAGAGAGAGAGAGAGAGAGAGAGAGAGAGAGAGAGAGAGAGCGCGCACAAAGGCTTTGCTACCTTCTTTCCAAGATCGCATAACTTACTCACCCATGACCTCCAGCTGGACATGCATGAAGCTCTCTATTTCATCACGCAGGGTGCTGTGGGATCGCAGAGGCACAGGTAGGAAGCCATACACCTCTCTGTTGCACACAAACATCTGAACTTCTAAACAAAAAGGGGAGGGGGCACACAGTGAGCACACAAGAGCAGGACGGTACAATGGGTCCCTCTCTCCATCCCCTTGCCAGGTCAGAGAGCCTCAGCCAACAAGATGCTTCTCCTCCATACGCATGAACTCTAGAGTAAAGGTTACAGCAGTACATCTGCCTGCCCAAGCTATGGGTCCACATCCTACTCAGTTTAAGAAAGGCAACCAAGGAAACTGCCACAAGACTTGCACCATTAAGACTGAAGGCAAGACACAATTCTGCAGAAGTGCACAATATGAGTGCGGAAAGCAGCATCCCAAGCAAGCTCTTGGCCCTTTGGTCTGCAAAGATCCACTTGCAATGTTAATTCACAGAAGTCAGAGAAGTGGTTGGTTAAGGGTTTGGACATCACAATCAATGAAAGATTGCAAGTAATAACATGAGAAGCATGCATGAGAAGAAGTAGTCATTCTACTATGAAGAATAAGATCCACTGTGTAAATTTCCTCAAGAGATGCTATTTATACAGAATGCTGGATTCCATCTTTAACCATTATTCGCTTATGGACTATATATAGCCTTGGTTTTGCTGAGGAGTGAATATGGTGTCTTCTAAGGTGGAGTCCTGTTGTGTATGCTAATTCCAAGAATACCAGCTTAGATTCATTTTCTTCCTCCAGAAACCACTTATTTAGGCTGAATTAACCTCAGGCAAGTGACCAGCTGCTCGCTCACTTCCCTCCAGCATTCTCCCAGGTGCCTAAGCTGGCCTAGTTAATGCCAAGAGAGGTTGCCCAGATAGCTGCATGCTTCACTTCTGCTAAGAACAGACAATCAAATGTTATATCACTGGCAACTTCTCTCCCTCCTACCACTCCTCCAAGCAAATGCATGATCTCCCACCCTTAATTGTGCTTTTGTCATGTGCCCTGACCCACCCACTCCCCACATTGAATTTTCCCATTGCACTCCTGACTAAAGCCACTGTTTCTGCTAGGACCACTTCCTAGTCTGTACTCTGCTTCCTCCTGCAGTGATCTTGATACAGACTGCAGGAGGCAAGAGCAGCAACCATCTGAAATAGGGCCACTGGCATGTGTGTGCTTGTGAAATGAGTGTGTGCATGTACATGCTCTGAGGCAGCATCACACGTGCCCCCTGCCGCAGAGGAGCACGTTCTCCAACTCTATAGCCAGGAATGCCAAATGCACAGACTCCATACAGGGCTGCTGTCTCCCTGCTGGAGGAAACAGCAAAAGACCACACTGTCTCTTCGTGCATTAAAGAGCAACTCCGATAAGCAGAAGCATTTCCTGGCAACAAGACAGGAGGAGCTGGCAATCAAAGTGGGGAAATGCAGGCGGCTTTGCTGGAGGATTGTTTGCCAGGCAACCCTTTAAATTTCAGGTTCTCTGGATGGTCTTCACATATAGACATTTGTGAGTTAGTCAAATCTGAAGGCTAATTTCTCAGTGGAGGTACAGAATGGCTGAAGTGCCATTCTTTTCAGAAAGAGAAGGCCATGTTTTGACTCACCTGCCTGCCTGCAGGCAAAGGCAAAGACAATGATGTCATCAAAAGCCCAAGTGTAATCGGGGTGGGGTGGGTAGAAAACAAGGTGCTGGCTGGCTTCTTTCTGCAGATTGATGAGAAAGGTGGAGTGTACCATGGGAACGGCAAAACAGCCCTTGCGATCATGTTTCCTGATGGGGATGTAAGCTGGGGTACGCTTGTAATAACCCTAGGAGAGAAGTGGAAGAGAAATTCCGTAAGACCTTTTCTGCAAGGAGAGAAGCAGGGATGGAGCCTCTGACACAGAACACCTGGCAACACTTAACCCCAAATGCAAAAAGTAGCAAAGGCTGGACACAGTTTGCCGTTCAGAGCATTTGGGGAGGGGAAGAAATGGGAGTGACCACTGGACAAGCCAGATGAGGAGACAAAATGGGAGAAGTGCATGGCACAACTCCTTCATCTGCTCTTCTGCACAGCCAAGGTTTCCCAGGCTGCCACAATGATTTCCCACTGGGTCTTAACATCTTGCACTCTAATGCTAGGTTAACAAAAGAGAAATCTGCTATGATTCTTTATGCAATTCTGGAATACAGCACTGAGCTGGCATGTACTGCTGAGACTGGGAAGGGAAAGGGTGGCACAAATGCATCTGCCATGTTATTCACAGACACAGGAGCAAGGACCCAACAGCTGGTATGGGTGCCAGCAGTGTACCTCATGGTGGAACAGTGCCCTTTCCAGGTGCTGTGTGATTTCCTGGATTCATGAAGCTGCCTAAAGGCTTCTCTGTGTTCATACCCACCTTATGAAATGCTGTCTAGGGCAGCTTTGTCCAACACTGATGGTAAGAAAGGGGGAAATGTCTTGGCTGAGAGGCTAGGAAATAGGTGGGAATATGCATGGTAGAAATTCCTCTTGAATTTGAAGGCAGCGTGGTTGAGGACCTCTAGGCTGATAATGCACTAGGCAGTAAACATGCAAACCCCGGCGTTCCAATCTCCACCACACACGTCTATGCCACAAATCCCTCACTGAAGGAATATGCCTAAACCCGCCATCCTGTGCATACCTGTGAAGTCATCCCACACCAAAAGTTCGAATAGGCTGCCCGTGAATCCAGCATGGGTGCCACCACAGTCTTGTTCTCAGCTATCAAAAGGCTCAGGGTGTCAGGGTTGGTCAGGAGATTGTCTGAGTCCACAAACTGCAGGAGTGTGAATTAAACAAACAAATGAAAAAGTACAGTGATTTAAAAACTTATGAACTTCAGAATTTGACTGTTCCAGAAATTGTGCGATCTCTGCGAGTAGGCCTGAGGCCTTGTTTTGCTACTGTTGAAAGCCTATGTGAAAGCTGCTTAGAGACAACCTGAAGGGCAAGAGAGAAAGAAATACTTCCTCTTCGTATTTCTGGATGGAGTTTGCATCAAATAAATTCAATTCTGAATAGTTGGGAATTCTCGCTATGTGAAAAAGAGCAGTTGGGAAATGACCACTCAGACATGGCAGTAAACAGTGTGGCTGCTATGGCAGTCTGAGGCAGTCCACAGGTGGTTGTTTGGTGTTTTAGGACTAGAAGAAAGCTGAGTAGAAAGTGAATAGCTAAGGCTTGAATATACTGCTTTTGTTTCCTCTGTGGCTGGTGAAGATTGGATGTAGGAAGGAGGTGGCTGCATTATGCCAAGAGGCTGCCCTCACATCTTGCAGGAAGCAGTCAGTAAAACAGTATAATAAAAGAAGCTTGGGTATCACAGGAAGAGACTACCCAGAAGCTGGACCCAGCTGTAAGATTATTTGGCCGGGGAAGAAGGCTAGGAGATCTGGCCTGGGAAAGAGTCCTTAGAGGTTTGCAGCAGCAACAGTGTCTCTTGAGAACTAACAATTGTCGCTGAGCAGTGTTTTGAAGACACTATCAGAAATCACATATCAGAAATTTGTATGTACATAATATCCCTTTAATAAATTATGTCTTCAATATTTCAGTGTGCCTCTAACGTGGATTTCATATCTAAGTGTGGCTGTGAACCACCCAGATATCTTTGGCTATTCAGCAGTACAGAAATAAAATTTTTGTTATTGTAGTAATATTTTCGTATCAGCTACTAGGAGATTGTTAATTATTCTAACAGAATTGGTGGCAGAGGAAATGGGTCAGTTTGTGGCCTTCTCTTTCTTTTATAATGCCAGAGAGTTTCTGAGGTCCAGAAACATAAACTATTTGCTCTAAATAAGCAATCTAGTAGGTGGTGGGGAGAGGAAATCCCCCTCAGCTAGCATGAAATTTAAGCTATTGAACTACTGTGTTTCACATTTTGATTTCTAGCCTCCATTCATGATGGGATAGAATTTTCCAATGATACACAGTATACGCTCAGACAGTGTCGTACAATTGTGGATACTTCAACATTTGACCAGGGAAACCAAATGGCAGTCCAAATCATATTTGACGTTAGGGAGGCCACCCATGCGACTGGGTCAACTCAACCTCTGGGAGTTCTTGGCATAGTAGATGCCTCCTTAAAACTCATTCCCCAGAAACAGACATTTCAGAAAGACCAGAGGGGAATGAAAGGAGAGAAGGAACTCAGCAGTTGTGCCGTCAGTGGCAAGGAGGAATGGCACAAGGGGAGCCAGCCAGACACTTTGAGAAAGAAAGGTTTTATTCCACTCCAGCCCACTTCTCAAACTCAAGGGCACTGGAAGGAAGGCACCCTTCTCTCTTGGGGTAGCAGCAACTGCTTTTATACCTTCCTCTGCATATGCTCAACGGCCACTATTTTACAAGGGCATTTTTAAAATCCATCTACCCCTTCTTGCTAAATCACTGTCCTTAATTTGCTTGCTGGGGAGACCTGGGAGGAGTAATGACTTAGAACAACTTCCCCAACCTGGTGACCTCCAGATGTGCTAGACTGTGACTCCCACCATTCCTAGTCAGCATGACCATTAGCCATGCCGGCAGAGAATAATGGGAGCTGCAGTCCAACATCTTTGGAGATCACCAGGTGGGGATGACTTGCTGAGAACTGAAAACGCTGTTCTAGGATAACTGGCTAGAGAAGAAGTGAGGCTTTAGGTCTGCAGTTGGAGTAGGAGGCATGTGCACAGCCTGAGCACACTTGCACTAAGGCACCCCATTATCGCACACCCTGCTAGTTCTTCTCTGAGGCTGGAGATTCATTTCTGCCTACTGTGCATGGGGTGGGTTTTTTGTGCTTTTTTGGAAACTGGGTGGGCAATGAGTCTCTATGCTTTTAAAACAGTGCAAGGCAGGTTACTGGCAGGATCATCCAAATGCCACAGGCAAAGAAGAGCCTTCAGAAGATGTGCTGCAAGGAACAGGATGCCCAGGCAGTAGCTCATGTGACATGGGATTTACAGGTGAACAAAAGCAACTCTATTTTCACTCATGAAATAGCAGAACTGAATAAGTTGTACTCAGGTTGCAGCAAAGGTCTGTTTAGCTTGTACTGAAAAGGAATGACGATGACGAAGAATCGCTTGAGGATGAGGCAAAGTTAGTCCTACATGAGGAAAACCACTGAAGTGAATGGGACTTCAGTGAGACTAATGTTGGGTGGGCCCTTCATAGGCCTAGCCTCATGCTACTTCCAGGAGCTCAGGTATTTCATGCCATGGGCAAGACTCAAAGAGCCACGGTCCTGCCAGGACATGAAGGAAAACAGAGCCAAACAGAAACAGATGCTGCTGCTCTTCATAAACAGGGCAGAAAGCCATGATCCACTGCCATGTCCGAACAAGAGATACACTATCATTCACTTCAAACATTTCTGGGCTGCAGGCCAGCAGCTCATTCCAAAACGGAAGTACAAGGTACAGCAAGCCAAGGGTCAGGCTCCCAGAGAAAACAGCTGCTTGATTGGCTACTGCTTTGCCCTGAAATCCCACCACAGCTGTTCTTGCTTCAGAATGGGAGCCATGAGGGAAGGGGAGAGGCACGCTGGGAATGCAGAGGAGTAACAGCCAACTTCGGGGCAAGACCAGTTATGCCAGCAGGGCTGCAATAGAGGGTTGGAAAGTGCTTATAAGAGTTAAGTGGCTGGGGAATTGTCCTGATCTGTTTGCAATGAGAAATATCCAATTCCATGCTGTAAAAATTATATAAGGTTATACAATGTATGCATTTGTTTGACTGAGCACCTGATATTTTCCTTTTTGGAAGATTTGACAGTATTTCAGTAAACAGCATATTGGCAAAAGGAAAGAGATGGAAAAGTAAAAGTGTACATGGGGAGACATCATGGTTGGAAACCATGAAAAACACAATATATTTTATATTTTTTATTCTACATGTATTTTTCAGATTTTTCTCTTTCCCACTGTGGCATCTAGAACTGTCAGAGGAAAGAAAGCAACTGAAGTGCTGTTATTAACACACTGGAGTTATTAACATCAGCTATTAACGTACAAGTTCACTTTTATGAACTAACCCCAACCCTAACATTTTGAAGACTTAAGCAATAGTTTTATGCTCAAGTGGACAAGACAGATGGAATAGTTTATAATGTGGTAGGTGTGATTTCAAAGTGCCCTCCCTGCATTCAAAACAAAACACAGAATCATAGAACTGTAGAGTTGGAAGGGGGAAGTAAGGCCATCAGATCCAGCCCCTGCTCACTGCAGGGCTCCAAGTTAAAGCATCCCTAACAGATGACTGTCCAGTTGCATCTTGAACGCCTCTAGTGGGAAAGCTCACCACCTCCTTTGGTCATTGATTGCATTGTCATGTGCTGTAAGAGCCAGGAAGTTTTTCTTGATGTTCAGCCCAAATCTGGCTTCCTGTAACTTGAGCTGATTATTCTGTGTCCTGCACTCTGGAATGATTAAGAAGAGATCCTGGCACTCCTCTCTGTGGCAACCTTTCAAGTACTTGAACAGTGCTATAATATCTCCCTTCAGTCATCTCTTCTCAAAGTGAACATGCCACATACTTTTCCTCTCTCCTTATGGAGATTTGTTTTCAGTCCCTTAGATCATCTTAGCTGCCTTCTACTGAACTTTTCCCAGTTTGTCTACATCTTTCTTAAACTGTGGTGCCCAACACTGGATGCAGTACTCAAAATGAGGTCTAACCAGTTTTGAGCAGAGGGGAACTAGGAATTTATGCAATTTGGAAGTGGCATTCTATTAATGCAGCCTAAAATAACATTTTTTTTTTGCAGCTGCATCACATTATTGGCTCACATTCAGTTTGTGACTACAACAATTCTGAGATCCTTTCCGCTTGTACTATTGCTGAGATCATGCTGTAATTATGCATTTGGTTTCTTCTTTCTAGGTGCAGAACTTGGCATTTATCCCTATTGAATTTCATTCTGTTCTTTTCAGCCCAGCACTCCAACCGATCAAGATCACATTGAATCTTATTTCTTTCTTCCAGGATATTAGCTCTCCCACCCAGTTTTGTGTCATCTGCAAATCTGATAACTGTTCCCTGCACTTCTTCATCCAATTCATTAATAAAAATGTTGAAGAACACTGGACTTGCTGGACTGAACTCTGAAGTGCCCTCCTTGTTACCTCTCCCCAGTTTGAGAAGGTGCCATTGATAACTCTTTGAGTCTGATTGTTGTCAACTGTGAATCCACCTGATTATTGTTCCATCTACCCCACTTTTAGCTAGCTTGCTAATCAAGACATCATGGGGTACTTTGCTAAAAGCTTTGCTGAAATCAAGATATATGATGTCCATGGCATTTCCATGGTCCACCATTTCCATGGTCCACCCAATTAATAAAAAGAGGGATCAGATTAGTATGCTAGGATTTGTTCTTGACAAATGAGCAAGTCCATGTTGGTTTCTTGCAATCACTTCATTGTTTTCAAGCTGTCTGTAGATTGACTGCTTTACGATTGCTCCAGAATTTCCCCAGAGATTGAGGTCAGAGTCACTAGTCTGTAATTCCCAGGTTCTGCCTTTTTCCCTCTCTTTGAAGATAAGGACAAGATTAACCCTTTTCCAATCACCCACTTCACCCATCTTCCATGATTTCTCAAAGATAATAAATAGTGGTTCTAAGAGTTTACCTGCCAGTTTCTTTATTACTCTAGAATGAAGTTGATAAGGCTCTGAAAATTCAAACTTATTCAGAGCAATACTTTGTCTTTGCCAGGAAAGTCATAGAGCTTCCTTTGGGAGAAGATTGAACCAAAGTAGGAATTGAGCATTTCTGTCTTGTCTTTGTCATTAGTTATCATTTTGCCATCCACACTGAGTAGTTAAACCCAAATTTCTTTCTTCTGTCTTTTACTATGGACATATCTGAAGAAAGCTTTTTGTTGCTTTTAGCTTCCCTTGCTAACCTCAGCCCCTTCCCGGCTTTAGCCTTCCTGACTTCAGCCCAGCAATTCCATACTACTTGCTTGTACTCTTTCTTTGTAGCCTGGCTTTCCTTCCACTTCCTATACATAGAATCATAGAATAGTAGAGTTGGAAGGGACCATGAAGGCCACTGAGTCCAACCCCCTGCTGTTGCAGGACATCATGTTACACCATCCCACTCAGATGGCTGTCCAGTTTCTTTTTGAATGTCTCTACTGTGGGACAGCACACCACCTTTCTAGGCAGCTGGTTCCACTGTTGTATTGCTCTAACAGTGAGGAAGCTTTTTGCCTGAATCTGGGTTGTCGCAACTTGAGTTGATTATTCTGTATCCTACATTCTGGCATTAGCAAGAAGAGATCTTGACCTTCTTTGTGACAGCCTTTGCACGTCCCCCCCTTAGTCCTCTCTTCTCAAGGCTGAACATGTCCAGTTCTCCCGGTCTCTGTCCTTTTTCATTTTCAAGTCACCCCTAAGCCTTTTGTCAAGCCACTCTGGCTACTTCTTTTGTCTTCCACCTTTCTGTCGTGTTGGATTGTTTGCAACGGCACCTTTAGAATTTGCTTTCTTTAGCTGCTTGCATGGGCTTTTACTTACCATTGTTCTGAGTTTATTAACATTGGCCTTCCTAAAATCCACAGTATGTGTTTGTATCCTTTAGAATCAAGAATTCAGGTATGGCACAGTCACATTGGCCCAAAGTACCTGTAATTGTTACCATCAGGTCATTCTTCTTGGTTGGACTCAGGTTAAAGATAAGTGATCCTTTAGTTCATAGAAACATAGAAACAAAGTGAGTCTGGAGGGACCTTTCAGCCCATCTAGTCTGACCCCTGGCTCCAGTTGACTCCACTCATGTAATCCCCAACATGTGGTTGTCCAATCTTTCCTTGAACATCCTTACTGATGAGCTTACAAGGGAGGTGGTTGAGGCCCCATTCCATATCCTAGGGGTCTTAACCATCAGAAAGTACTTCCTGATATCCAACCTGAAGCCTGGTTTCTTGATCTTTGCCCCATTGGAACATGTCCTGCCCTGTATTGTAGGGAAGAACAGATCACAGCCCTCCTCCACATGACATCCCCTCACATACCTATAAGTCACTAAAAGATCCTTCCCTCAGAGTTTCCTCTTCTCCAGACAGAAAAGACCCAGTTCCCTCAATCTTTCCTCATATGTCATCCCTCCCAACCCGACTACCATTCTTGTGATCCTGGGCTGAACCGATTCTAAGCTAGCTACATCTTTCCAATAATGTGGAGCCATGTTGGATGCAGTATTCCAGTTGTGGGCACACCAGAGTAGTGTAAAGAAGTATCAGTACCCCCCTGGATCTGGAAGCCACATTTCTGGCAAGACATCCAAGGGTGGCATTTGGCTTCTTAACCACTGCATCGCACTGCTGGCTCATGTTCAGTTCAGCCTGCTGTCAACAAGTACCCTGAGCTCCCTTTGACAAGTGCTGCTCTCTAGCCAATTGTCCCCAATCCTGCACCTGTGACACCTCTTCTGTCTCTCAGCTGCAAAGCCTTGCACCTATCCATATTGAATGCCATCTTGTCGTCCCCTGCCCACTTCTACAGCCTGTCCAGATCCAGAATAATCTGGATCACCTGCTCCACAGTTGTGGCCACTGCCCCCACTTTGGTACCACCTGCAAATTTAGTCAGCAGACTTGTTATTCCTTCCTCCAGGTCATTGATAAAAAGTTTGAACAGAATCAATCAAAGAACTGAACCCCAGGGGACTCCGCTTGTCATCAGCTGTCATCCTGATGATTCCCCACTGATAGTCACCCTCTGCTTGCAGTTCATCAACCGTACCCTAATTCATTAGACAGTGCATTTATCTACCCCAAGGCTCAACTATTTCTTGACCATGCTATCCTGCAGCACTTTGTCAGGGGCCTTGTTGAAATCCAGGTAAACCACATCCACGGTGTCCCCTCCATTTAGTCACCACAAGACCTTTTCATAAAATTCCACAAGGTTCATCTGGCAGGATCAGTTTTTATGGACTCCATGCTGCATGGCTGCCAACCTCCCTTTCCTGTCTAGTGTTCCTAGAGCTTTCTCTATTATGAGTCTTTCCATCATCTTTCCCAGAATAGACATAAGCCTAACAGGCCTGTAATAGACATAAGCCTAACTGGCCATATCCTCTCTGCTATCCATTTTGAAGACTGAAACCACTGATGCCACCCATTTTCTATGAGGCCTCAAAAATGAAGGCCAATGAATACAAGAGTACCCCTGCCAATTCCTGAAGTATCTTCAGGTGTAGCCCATCAGGGCCCAGTGCCTTTCTAACATACAGGGATATGAGGAGCTCCTTGATTTCTAGGGAGGTGACTCCAATCTGTGTCCCCATAGCCCCAACTTCATCAAGTCCCCCAGGTAGATCTCCCCCAACCCACTTTAGGGAGAACACAGAACCAAAATAATCATTTGACATCTTTGCCTGTTCCCTTTCATCAGTTACTAGATCTCCTACCTTCCTTTTAAGTGGTCCCACCACTTGTCTCCCCTTCCTCTTTCTATTTACATGAAAGTAGAAGCCCTTTTCATTTCTCTGCACATGTTTCAAAAGTCTCTGCTCATAATTAGCCTTAGACCTTAGAAGAGTCCTTCAGCATCGTGCCTCCTCCTCCTCCTGGAATACCCTTTTCTCCACTTGCATCAGTGTCCATTTCCTGTGGAGGTCCCTGTTCCTTCCAATCCCTCTTACCACCTCTCTTTGCATCCATGGTGGCACCCTCCTACACCTCCCTGCTTTGCTACTCATTTTGCTGCTAGTTCTTTCCTCCACTTTCTGTAGGTGGAAGTTATCAGCAATCTATTCCTCTCCAGCAGCATGATCTGGGGAAGGGGTTTGCAACACAGCAGAAATTCCTGTGTACAATTGCCAGGAAACAGAATTACCATGTTCTCGCCTGGCTCTTGTTGATTTTATTGAGAACTGTGCATTTAAAAAATGCTCAAACTTCCCAGTAAAGGTTGGACTCATTGAGTCAGACTTGTCTCTTACTCTGCCATACCGTAAGAACACCTCAACTTGCCAGGATCATCTTTCTCTCCCTCTCTCTGGGCCTGGTTGGACATAACTACAAGGAAATCACCCATGGTGAGTTGGCTGTTTTTGCAAACTACCCACAATGAGCCCAATGGACAATCAGGTTCATCACAGGTACTTTGCTCCTTCCCACCCCAGGGAAAGAGAGCTTAAAGGAAAACAGAGTGGAACTGTCAAACTCCATTTCCTTGAAGAAAGTTGCTCTTCCATAGAGAACAAAGAGGGAATAACTAGAAAGAGCAGGCTCTTGCCAGAGAGGGCAATGAAAAATGATGAAAAATGAGATCCTGCCATTCTTGCTCATAATGATGTCTGCTTTGTGCTGCCACCAAGAGCAGTGGAGGCAGAGGACAGGGGAAACTGCTGTTGCCTTAGCTGATGATCACAGCTGCTCCCACTCCATGCCACCTGCCCTGGTGACAGTGTGGGGTGCAGGAAAAGTTTCTGAGAGTTGCCTCCATGTGCCACTTGGGCACACTGGACACAGCTGCCAGCAGTGCACATGCAGCAGCCCATGGGCGTGGGTTGTCGTGTCATCCAAATTTGCAAGCATAATAGAAACAAAAGAGGGAAACAGGATGAAGGCAGAAGAAAAGCAGCAACAGAATAAAAATAAAGGAAGAACTTGATCAAATAAAAAAGCCTATCTACTTACAATAAGCAGTTGTTTAGATATACAGGCTACTTATAGTAACATTTACTTTTGAAACGGAAGCATTGTTCTCCCCTCTTTTTCGTTCCTTTTTATGAATGGTGCTGCAAGAGGCATCTCTAAGTAAGAGAATGGCTAGTTGGCGCTAGAGAATTCCCAGCTCTCTCAGCTTCCCATTAAATGGCATCCACGCATCCCAAAGGGAACTGCCTGCTACAGTATTCCAAAAAGTCAGGTACCTCCCTACCCCTCCCCTGTGCCAGTTACAGGAAGTAAAACTGGACAATGCCCTGAATGTGCCTTCAACACCACATTCCTGAGGAGAATCCACAAGCTGAACATCCAGGGGGCTGGAACGCAGCACAAGGTGACCCCCTAAGACCAAGCTTCACGGAAGACCACCACCAACCATGAATTTTCGTGACAGGACGGCATATAAATATTATAAATAAATAAATAAATAAATAAATATTTTAAAAAAATGAACAATACCCTCCTCCAGGGTTCCCTTTGAAACTTTTCCTTACCAGGATGTAATCCGCCCAGATGTCCCGGGCATGATGCAAAGCTGCCTGCCGAAGCTTCATGACATGCTCATAACGGGAATTGGACCAGTGCTTCGGACCTTCCTCATCTGGATAGAACCTGCCAGGGATAATGAGGCTGAGGCTCAGGCTTTGGAAAGGAAAAGCCCTCTTCTCCACCAAGCTGCCTCCACATATGGAAAGCACGCAAGACACAGATGCAACTGGCTCTGCATCTCAGGGGCTTCTGAGGCAGAGTCTGCTAGTTGGCTGTTATGGCAAAGGCAAAGGAATGTGTTTTCTGCCAAGTACTAACACGGTTCTGCACCTGGATTTGGCACACAGATCACAGAACCCAACAGGACCTCTGCTCAGGGGCAGTCAAGCATCCAAAGGTTTGGGAAGAAGCTGGAGAAAGAACAGACTTCTATAATATACCTCAAAACAGCACTTTAAGTGAGATGGCTGAGCTTCAGCTTCATGGACTGGGTTGGCTCTCTTTTCAGGTTGCTGGTTTCATTGTTCATTGCTGTCATTATTGATTGTTTTTACAATTTTCCCTTTTTTAAAAAAAACCATACAGCTTCCATCCTTAAAAATGGCCTAACAGTAAATTTAAAGAAGCAACTATTTCACACCATGAATCCAAGCTGGAACAACTTGTGGTATGGATTGTGGCAATCATTTATATAGTGAAGCTTTATGAGAAAAGCAGTGTGTTTCCTGCAGTGTGCCTGTATCAGCTTTGGTATTGATCACAGAATTCAACATCCTACAAATCTCAGCTTCCTGTTTAAAAATTTACTTAGAAATAGTCATCTAGTTGTCATTGTCAGCATCATCTGACATTTATATTCTGCCATTCTTTCTCTTGCAAGGTACCCAAGATGGCTTCCAAGGTCCTCATCTCTGTTTTCTCCTTGCCTCAACAACCCTGTGAGGGAGGGTAGGCTGAGGAGTGTGACTATCTCAATGAACTTTCATGGCTGAGTGGGACCTAGAATTCTGATCTCTGAGACCCAGTCCATTGCTCCATCCATTATGCCCTACTGGCTCTCGTGACCCTCAAGGTAGATGGAAAGCATGCAGTAAAATTGCAGGGTCCAGCTGGGCTGAGCCTAAGCTTGATTTTCAGAAGTCAACAGAGTGGGACTACTATCTCCCTACACAGCCTTTTGTCCAAGTGACCAGCAGAAGTCACATACATTATACAAGGTGCAGGAGGGGAATTAACCGGTACACACACCACCTTGGACATCAATTTCCATAAGGTCCTCTCATGCTACCACTGGAGCAATCCACTTCACAGGACAGAGGGAACTGCCAGAGATCCCAGAAACAAGCCACATTCTGAAGCAGCCCATGCTTGATTGACAGGTGGGATGGGAAGATTCCCCCCATCAGGACCATCCCCACCAATGGAGGCGAGCTTTACCACTGAGATTAAGCCCCCAAGAATAGCAGTGTCTCAAAGGTGGACCAGGATGAACACTGACCCAGTTAGCATGATCACGCGGGAAGTAGGAGGGGGAGCACAAGCCAGACTGTGGGCCAGTTGTATACCCATGCAATCTGCTAACTGTCCTCACTATCCTGGCTTCTCCTGTTGTGCAAACCTGGGCAGCATGGCTTCTTGGAAGGGGCAGCAGCCCTCAAACAAGCAACATGCTCTTGTTGGGTTGCTACCTACATCCAACAATCCTTGCTGCCCAGGTTCACATGACATGACCAACCATAGCTGTTCAGGCAGTCACATAAGCTCCCATGGCTACCTTATGACACAGTGGGCTGTCATGTCACATGAACCAGCCAACAGTAAGAGCCCAGTTGCAGGATGAGGCTCCTGATCATCAGGCCCCTCCTCAGAAGGACCTCTAAAAACCTCTGGTGTTCTGAAGCTGAGGCCAAGTGTGGCGGGGGTGCTCTGAAAGCTTTAGATGATAAGCCTACATTCCTAGCAGGAAGAATTTCTTTGCACCAACTCCAGTCCTTGCCTCTGAATACCCATCCTTCCAGTAAGCAGACCCTGGAATGCCTTGCAACACTTTCTTGTCTGGGGTTAAACTCTTGACTTGACCCTTACTGGCCTATCCTTCCCATTGACTGGCATGCCCATCTTTGTTCAGTGCTATGTTCCTGCCCTGCCCTGAAACCTGTTGGCCTGACTTTGGACTCTATTTAAGGCCTTCCTCCATCAAGTCTGACTAGACATGCATGAGCACTTAGAAGTGAGTGTCCATCTGGCCCAGACACTGCACATGGATTTTTAAATATGGAACACTGTAAGTCTCAGGTGTATCTGTCCCCTCTTACTCCACATACAACTTTCAACTAGGAAAGTGAACTCACTTTTGCAATCTGCCAACCTCTCTCCTTCAGATGGTTCATTAACCAGCCTATATCTGCAATATGTAATACAGGAAGCAAGATTGTGGAACAAGTACAGAGTGCTCTCACTTGAAAATCATCTCCATTTTCAAATCTAATTTCTGCTGTTTTTTCCTTCCTGCACACTCAAATATCTCATTCCCCATCCTGTACTACCACCCGCTTCCCCTCCACGTTTTGGTGCTTACCTGGGCTGTTCCACGGGCCGCCACTCCACGGAGTGATACATGCTCTGGACATTTGTCAGCCACTCCTGAAGCACAGCTGTTGTGTTGTCAATATTGTGATCAGTTGCCACCCTGGAATGACATGGGGCAATGAAACAAGTTCTGGCAGGAGCTACATATCAAAATATCTGCAGGTCTGTAAAATCACTCTCTTGCTGCAAGCCACCACAAAACGCATGGGAAAGTTGTGTTGGCATCTGCAAGGGCTTCGTACTGGGCTGTGACAGAGATGCCGGGTTCAGAGTTACTAGATTCCCACTCTCCATTATAAAAAAGTCCCTATAAAAGTTTGTTCACCTGTTTGTCCAAGCTCAACTCATGCAATCATGGCTGAGTAGCTGCTGTTAAAGTAACATAAGTGGGTCAACATGCCCTTCAATTTAAAGTATAAAATTCTAAAAATGCTAATACTTTCAGTTGCAGGAATGAAAACTAATGAGATCACATCAGGCTTGGAGGGGAACTGTTGTTTGCTCTGGAATTTAATGATTTCTTCTTATTCTTCAGTCCTAGAGATGAGGAAAACCTTCTTCTTAGGATGGTATTTGCTTTAGGGAGAATTTCCCTCAAAACTACCCTATAGGAAAGGGAAGGGTAAAATTCTCCTTTAAGTCTGTTCAGATCCCATTATCACTCCTCACCCTTAGTAGGTGCTATTTGCATTTCTCAAAATCTACACTTAAATGCAAAGACATATTTAATACCGTGTTAGTTCTGTGTGATGTTGATGATGTACTTTTTTTTCCTGTGTTCAAGACACTGCTCTCATTGCTCTCTACTGAATCAGTTTGCAAGCTTTTGGCACTCTCACACAAGTTGGTTCTCATTTCCTATTGCTTGTATTTAAAAAAGAAGCAAACAAAACAAGAATCAGCTTTAATCTAAAAGGACCAACAAAGGGACAGACCATGTCAGGAGGGTACCAATTTCAGAATACCTTGCACATGTAGAAAGTTGAAGAAATTTCAGAAACCTGTCACATTTTTGCTGGTCTTTCTTTGTCCCCTCTGTCTTTCCACACTCCTGTTCTGCCAACAAGCTGGGAAGATGAAATTTTCTCCAAACCAATAAAATTCTAACTAGTTGTCAAACCCAAAAGTCACTGATCCAGTTGGGATGGAGTTGGATGAAGACAGAGGACACAAACATATTACAGCAAGTTGCAGATGGAAGAGAATAAAGAGATATAATAAAAATGTGATTTGGTTCATATTCTAATATTAAGCACACAACTTAAGGATGAAAATGCATGGATTAACACACCAGACCTACTCACAAAGATTGGGTTTGGGACTAACAGACATTTCCTTTTTTTTACCACAATGCTAAAAAGCATTGCTATCAACTTGGAATGTCTAGCTCTGGGTCTAAATAAGATATGCCATTTGGCTTGTAGGATATTTGTTTTATTTGGCCAGATTATTGCTACATCACTTGAGACAAAAGCCATCTATTATGTTAACTTGGAGAGAGGGCCAGATATACCACAGCTGCTTTTATGGTGCAAACAAAAGCATGCTCTGCTTCCCTGGAATAGAGAAAGGTCTCTTGGAGCACCACTGCTACAGCCTGGAGATCTCTCTGCCATTTGCGCAATACAAGGGATGGCTCCCTGAGTATGTGCCTAGCTGGGGCAGGGTCTGCAGCAAGAAATCCGATAACCCCAAGTAAGCCATATTCAGACATTATTGTACCCAGACTATGGAATAAGTATTTGCCTTTAAGGAAATCTGACATCTGTTCTCTAAATAGCTGTGCTTTTCTAAACACAGGGGGGGAGTGTCAGATTGGTAATAGGTAATGATTTAGGTTTAATTCCACAAGTGAATGTGTACTTGTACTCTCGTCTTTCCCTCCTCAGTGAACTCTGCACAGACCTTCTAAATTTGCTCAAGAGGGTCTCCTAACCCTCCAGAGCAGACTTGGGGGATTTATGGGACCCTAGTGGGGGAGAAAATCCATTCTGCTGGTGAAACACCAGCAGAATGGATTCAAGCCACAAAGCATTAAAAGCAAACCTTTATTTACATTATCCCAACCATCTTTTAAAAACTTTGCATGGTAAGCCAGTGTTGTTATTAGGGCAGTTACCCTATTAAATCTTAGTCAATTATAGCAAGTTCAGTTAATCAATTAAATCCGCATACATCTGCAGAAAGCTATTCTGAAGAAAAGCATCCATTTTTTTTCCAGTTCAGGTATGCATGTGTTGCAGCAGACATCATCTTCTAACTCAGGAATGGGCAACTTCTGGCATTTTGGATGTTTTGGCTTACCACTCCCATGATACTGCACCATTGGCTATGCTGCTTAGGACGAATGGGAGTTGTAAGCTAAAGCCCCTGGATGGTCACAAGTGGTCCACCCTGGTTCTAAGTGATAATCCCCTCCAATCTGAGAAGGGAGAAAGCTCTTCCAAAATCAAAGCTTCTACTCATGCTTTTCGTAAATACTTGTGTTTATCCTGTTGTTTCAACAGCACCTTCCAGATTAAGCAGCTTTCCATCACTTGGTCTGCTGAATTTACTGATGAGGCAGTGGTTGATGTCACAGCCCTAATGTTTAACTCCATGTTGGGTGGGAAGGGGTTGAAGATGAGAGATGGCAGTTTGCTTAATGCAGCCTCCCTCACCCCAAACACCCTCCAGATGAGTCAACTACAATCCCCATCAGCCAACATCTGGAAGGTGCCAGCTTGCCATGCTGGGTAAGACTGGTCTAAGGCAACATCATTTTGGCCTGTTTAAATAAGAAGAACTGTAAAAATGCTGCTGCTCAGGATTTTCAAAGGGATTACCCATTTAAAAAGCAGAAGGGGAACTGATTCTGAGGGGGAAAGGCAACAGAAAGGCATCTAGAGCTGTCCTCATGACTATCTGCAGAAGGCCCAGACAACTAGAATGTGATCCTCCACAGGACACAATGGATGAAAAAGCCAGTGGGCCAAAAATCAGGTCTAAAGAGGTGACACATGGCCAGCAACAGTCAACTGTCTATTGGCATGTGGAGGCCAATGTGTGTCCTGGAGAGGGCATGCCAAAGACCAAACCAGGCAGGGACACAGGTGGTGAGACCTACTGTGTGTCAACTGAGATCTTCTCCATCTTGCCTCCAGACCCAAGAGCTATGCAAGAGGAGCTGCATGTCCCAAGAAGCTCCAGGATCACCAGGAGGTAAAGAAATTAATTACATAGTTTCTCTCAGGATGGCAGTGTGTCTTAGGCTAGGCCTGACTGGAGAGAACACAGAAAGTGTCTCCTTTCCCTCAGGGACCGAAGGTAAATGGCACAGTTGCTTGCCAGGGAACAAAATCAACCTGGATGTTGTGCGGCAAAATCTCCATGCAAGGGACAGAAACGGGCTTGAAGAAGCAGTGGTGAGGGGAAGTGACAGCTGTCAATTTTGTGCAGATGCTATTTCAGATGGATTGCTTAAGTTACCTATTTTGAGAAGTGCTGAATTGTCCTTTTTCCTTTTATTAGTAGTATTCTGAATGTTATGTCACATTCTTATGCCCACCCCCTTTCTTTTGTATTGTACATTAAAACTTTTAAAACAAAGAAAAGTTACCATGCACAAATTTATCTTCTGGAAATGAGAAAAAGACTTCCCCAGTTTGGTGTTCCTCATTTATCTTGGACTACAAATCTCATCAGCCTCCATCAGCATGACCAATGGTCAGCCGTGCTGGGAGCTGAAGTTCAAACCATCCAGGAGGCACCAGGTTGGCAAAGGCGAAATATAACCCCCTTCCCCACCCTTCTCGTCTGCACACACACCCCGCTCATGGGGGGAAAAGCAGGCACTTAAGTGTGGTGGCGCGTGGAAATCCTAGGATACCTATTCAGAACTAAGCCTTCCCTAAGCCAGCGCCTTTCCGAAGTTTTGGGTTAAAGCTCCTATCATTCTCAGCGAACAGAGTCGCAGATAGGAGCTGTGGTCCAAAATACGTGGAGGACGCCAGGAAAGGAAAACTGCACGCTCGCACTAGGAAAAACGTTTCCTTGGGCTCAGTGGGTCTCGCTTCGAAGCAGACACGTACAGCGCCGCGCTGTACGCTCCGGGGAGTTGAGCGGCGCTTCCTCCCATGTAATTGCAAAGCAATCCCTCTAGCGCACGGGCGAGACTCCGTGACATCCCCGGGTCTCTGCGAAGAAGCGGGGGGAGGGGGCTGCCGCCACGAGAACCCCTCCTGCCCTCTCTGTCCGGCTGCACTTACCAGAGCGCGATGCGGTCCTTTGGGTGCCGCAGCCTCTCGATGCAGCCCAGCGTCGCCGGCAAGGAGTGCGCCGCGTTGCGGGCCAGGAGCGCCAGCAGTACACGCGGAGGCCGCAGCGGCGTTTCGGGCAGCCAGCGCTCCTCCGGGAAGTACGCGCCCGCCCGACGGGTACTCCACGCCGCCGCCGCCAGCAGGTACAGCCAGAGCCAACTGGGCTTCATGGCCGAGCCGCCACTGCCTCGCCTGCCCTCCGACAGGAAACACCGCCTTAAAGGGACAGAGGACAAGCCCCTTCGAGGGTGCCTGCCCTCCGACAGAAACTGGGGCGGAGGTGGGGGGAACGTTGCAAGAAAGTGGAGGGCCTGAGCGCGCCTTCCCTTTAAGGAGGGTGCTTGGGGGCTTGGCGACGGACGCGCGGGGTAGTCCTGTCCAAATGCGCCTCGTTCTCTTTGGCGTGCCCGGAAGCGAGCTGCGCATCCGCTCAGCAGCAGCCTCTTCTTTTCCCCGCCTCGCTTCTGCAACATCAAGCGCGAGAAGACTTGGAGCGTGCGCCGGGGGCCGGGATTGCTGCTACAGACTAAGCAGGAGAACTATGTTTATTCTGCAGTACTCAAGGCCATTTTGATGCAGGGGGAGGAGATGCAGCCAGTGACACCGCCCTCTAATCAAATTGCAGACGATACAAGGTCCGTCGCGTTATTTGGACGCCTGGAAGTAAAAATATAGCCTCGAATTTAGTCTCAGAACAACCCAGATCAGGTGTTGGAGGCAAAGACTGGGAACAAACCCACTTTATCGTTGTCGCATCCGCCCTCTAGGCCCTGTGGAGTGCAGGGTGGAAATGTATCGCGCTCCAACACGAACGCTGCTTTGCCGACAAACATACTATTACTTATAGATTTATATACCGCTAAACATACTTAAAATAGAATTTCAGATATCCCTGGTCTAAAGCCAGCATCCCAACCACTATACAATACTGCCCTTTTTATATAAAGACTTCATTATCATCAATTCTGTTACTTGATTTTTAGAAGAAAAAGTTTGCATACAGGAACCAGAAAAATTCCTTATTCTGGGCATTTTGCACATGCCCAAACCACCCTGCAAATAGACCAAATTGGGTTAATCATTCATTTGCACATTACATCTGGCAGATGATTAGGCTTACTGTGAGTTCTTTCCTTCATTCCTCTTCATTGGGCTCCAGCACATCTCCAAATGTCCTTCACAGAACTAAGTGCTCCAAGCACTACCCATTTTCATTTGCTGCCTATTTTATTTTATTTTATTTTATTTTATTTTCTGAGCCTCAAACAAGCACAGTTGGTGTCATTTGTTTCCCCCCTTGAAACCTGCACAGCTTTGCCATTTTTATTTTGGTGGGGATGGAGCTCTTTCACAACTGTGCAAATGTGTTCTTATGGCTGTCCAATATGTATCATCTAGCTTAGTCAATTTCAACATGGAATAGATCCCAGAAACCGTAAATGCTCTGCTGAGTGGCAGGTAGAGCATGCAAGTGAGGCAGTTATTTGTTTGCTGCCCTCACTGAGGCCTGAGAAAGGGCATGCACTAGTGTTCAATTGCATCCATGAGGAGTTACTCCTCTGTCTCCCATTTGGCTTCATTGCTCCCAGCTCTGGAATATACAACAGAGCTGTACAAGTTCTACTATCATGAGAGTGATCAGGCAATCGTGTCAACCACCCAGGTAATTTCTACATTCCGCAGATCAATGTGGGTTTCAACAAAATCAACAGCCATATCACTGAGAGCCAGTGTGGTGTAGTGGTTAAGAGTGCAGGTCTGGGACTCAGGAGGTCTGTGTTCTAGTCCCTGCTCAGCCACAGGGCTTACTGGGTGACTTGGGCCAGTCACAGACTCTGAACCCACCCTACCTCACAGGGTTGTTGTTGTGAGGATAAGGTTGAGAGGAGGAGGAGGAAAACAATGTAAGTTCCTTGAAATGCAAAAAGCTGGGATATAAGTATATATCATCTGGGAAACTCCATAGAGCCCTCTGGAAGCCACCTGGATCCATTAGCCCCCAGGAGCAGACCATCTTAATAGATCCTCCATCCTTGCAGAGGGGAAAAGCTGCTGTCACTCAACTGGCAATGACCTATCTAGGGCTCTCCCACACTCGAGGCATTCAAAATGCAGCTGGACAGCCATCTGAGAGGAGGCTTTAATTTGAAGTTCTCCATTGAGCAGGGGTTGGACCCAATGGCCTTACTGGTCCCATCCAGCTCTATGATTTTATGGCCATAAGAAAAGGACTTAATCAAGGCCTCTCACCTTCAGATCACCATCCTCATATCTGACTGAAATGTCAAGGTCTAGAACATGACCTGCCATGAGTGTTGGGTTGATGACAGGTTGAGATAGTCCCATGGTTGTGATGGAGGCCATGAACTCCTGAGTCATCCCAGATATGGTGTCCCCAGCATGAATATTATACTTCTCACAAAACTGTCAGCATGAGGAAGTTCAGCATCACATTTGAGGCCACCTGTTAGCTAAGGTAGGGAGACTGCTGGGTAGCGGAGTGGACAGTATTCCAGGAGAATCCTCAGCCATATCTGCAGACACAAGTAGTCAGACCAGGAACCTGGAAAAGGAGAGAGCATTCTTACGGACCTCAGCAGCAACCCCTACCCCAGACCTCACATCTACTCAAGTGACCAGGAGAGCACAACTGGGAGAGGGTAACTTCTCCATGTTCGCACACCCAGGTCATGGTTGTGCATGCCAGATCAATCACCTCATGCACAAATAGCGGATAAGGTAAGCCTTATTCTGCACCACTCTGGAATTTAGCAACAGCTGCAATAAAAGGGACAGCAGGCAGCTGTTTCGGAGGACCCTGCCAGCTGCCTTCTAGCTGCAAGTAATGTCATAACAAGCTGGCAGGGCTCTCCCTTTTGGTGGAAGAGCCTCCTACTCTCTTGTCTGGGGTAAACATCTCACCATGCTTCATGGGAGGGCTGGCCCTCCAGAGGAGGTCAGAGGAAACAGTGAAGTCTGAGAACTGTGGCAGATAATTTCAGCATCAATTCTAATTTAAAAAGTGCCAGTGTGGCATCCTTGCAAGTGCAGCATTCCTGGCTCACCTAGACCACTGAATGGACATGCAAATGCACATGAACATCCTGGTTAAATTAGTTTTGCATAGCTGTACATGCCTAGAGCTTTGGGCTGAATGTCCCCTTTTGTCTCCCTTTATTCTATAGTGCACTAGAATAAAGCTGATTTTGGCTCTAAGTCTTGTCTCAGGCTCTGTTTGGCTCAGGTCTGGGGTCTACCCGGGTTTGCCCCAGCTGTTGACTGGCTGAGTCTGGTAACAAAGTGAAGGCCGAGCAGACAGCTTTGTAATTTTTCAGCTTTTCTAAACAAGTCCAAGTTAGTGGTACCAGATGATTCACAGTTGATTATTATTTTCCATATGTATTTGAGGCCAAGATCCCGCCTGTTTGGGGTTGCATTCACTTTTCCTTTTTTTAAAAACCTGTTTCTACAGCCAGTATAATGTCAGCAGCTCAGAAACTGTTGCCAATTGCAGCACCCCAAAACACCCCAAAAGTAGTTTGCCAGAGGAAGGCCACATAGTAAAAACACCACAGTTATACTGTCCCAGAAGGGAGGGCAGATAAGAACAAAATTAACTTTGTGTAACCCACAGCTAACACGCTAGCCTGACCTCGAATACAGTAATCAAAGAGACCGTGGAAACTGGTTCTAGCCACCACAACAGTTGCAAATGTGCAGGGAGTAAGAACATGGCAAGCCTGTGTGAATCTCGAGCAGATACGAATTCAGCATTGGAAATGTCTGGTCCTTGACAGAAGAAAAGACTCTTTGAAGCTAACAGCAGTGGGGGTGTGGCTACATTGATGTATTGATGCATGAGAAGTGTATTAGGTGACCTAATTGCTTACCTAGGGTATAAAATTTATGTACTGGGGTGCAACTTTCAAGACACTGCTTTGGGCTGAACATCCCCTTTTGTCTCCCTTGATTCTATAGTGCACTAGAATAAAGCTGGTTTTGGCTCTAAGTCTCATCTCAGGCTCCTTTTGACTCAGGTCTGGGGTCCACCCAGGTTTGCCCTAGCTGTTGACTGGCTGAGTTTGGTAACAGCCTTAATTACTTCAGTCCTAGTATGATTCGAAAATTCGGCCCTGCTTTCCTTTCGAACAGAAAGTGGCAGACAGATAAAAGCAGCAGAAATAGCTACTGAACAGCAATTGCAAAACAGCTGCAAGTCCTACCCCACTGCAACACTCAAGCTGCAAGAAAGAAAGAAACATAAAAAACACCCAATAGCAACAGAGAGCTTCAGCTGTTGGATGATAGAGAAAAAAAATTAAAGACGATGATGGCAAAAATACAGGCACACATTTAACAGAACCAAAAATCAAATGCAAGGTTGGCATGCAGATTTCTGCTGCAGTTTAGTGTTCCCTCTTTTCTCTCCAAATAAGAATCAAGGAAAGAAGAAAATTAGAGCTATTCCTTTCCAAGGAATAGTGGAGCTGCCCTTTTGGGCCAAACCTGCAGTTTAGAAGGAATAGGAGACTCTCTTCAGACCAAGGGTTCCTGACATTCATAAAGCAGGAACAAATCATTATGTCAGCACTGCTCATAACAAATCTAATCTCAGATGCCAACTTGTGTTTGACAAAATTGGCAACATATCTAGCTGTCTACAAGGTTATCTCTGCTTATAAGTGTTATGAACACTCTTTCCGTTGGAAGAGAAAAATATTCCAGGCATGCAGAGAGTTCCTTTTAAAACTTTATTGCAACAAGGG